AATATTTATAATTATAATTAATATAAATTTTAATAAATATAAAATTAATATTTATTTAAATATTTATCTTTAATTATCATCTAAATTTAAATAATCTTTAGACTTCCAATTATAATTATCTTGTCCTAAAATTTAACTAGTTTGTTCATTAAGATTTTTTAAAATTTCATCAGTTTCTAATAATAAATTTTCATTATTATTTTCAATATCAGGAAAATTTTCTAAATTATTAATAAAAATTTTATCATTAAATCTAAGTTTTCTTCTAAAAATAAAACAAAATTCTCTCTAGTTATTGTATTAAATTCACTAAAATCTAAATTATTAAATAATAATTCATCTTTATAAATCCTTTTTTTTCTAATCTTTCTTCAAAAGTCTTAATATTTGTTTAATTTAATATTTTCAAAACTTCATTTTTAGTTATTTCATTTGCAAAATAAGAAAGTTTTTTTTTGTATTAGAATTATAATATATATATAGTTTTGTAATTATTTCTAAATTTTGAATATCTATTTGTATTTATTTATTTCCAGTTAGCCAAGTAAGTAAAGAAAAATTCCTTTTATATAAAACATTATTTAAAACAATTGCTAAAATCTTTAATGCTAATTCTTAAAAATATTTAAGTTCTGGTTCAATTGAATTTTACTATGTTATAGAAATATCATAACCTTATGCATATAGTTTATCATATGGATATTTATTTTCTTTATAAAGTCGAAGATGAGCAACTAAAACTTTTCAACTTGTATTATCTTTTTCAAATTTTTGTTAAATAGAACCAACAATTTTAATAATTCTAGAAAATTGTCTACTTTTAAACCTAAATCTAAATTATAAAATAAAAATTAAATATTATTTTAAAATATAATAAAATTAGATAATATTTTAAATATTATTATAAAATAATTTTAAATAATATTTTAAATAAAATTAAATAATATTTTATAATAAAATTAATATTATATTAAAATAAAATTAAAAATAAAATTATATATTATAATATTTTAAAATAAATTTTTAAATAAAATAAAATATTATTTTATAATAAAATTAGATATTCTTTTAAGAAATATAATTATAATAATTTGAGATAATTATTACTTTACTATTTTTAAAATTAGAGTATAATTTAAGACTAAGATAGATATTAGATATAATATCTTAAATATAGATTATATAAAGTTTTAAAAACTTCAGAACATTTTTTTTAAAATATCTAATCTCTATTTTTTAGTCTTATTTTTAAGATATAATATTAAGATAATAATCATCTTAGATTATAATTAATAAAATTCTTATTTTAAAATATATTATTTTAAATAAAATAAAAATTATACTTATTATGAAAATTAATATATTAATTATTTACCAATGGATATACATATCCTACCCTCCTGTACAAAAAATTAATTGATCATCATCACTATCATGTATTATCACATGTAAATGTAGTAGCACAATCTAACCTTTACGCACAATTCAACCTTTACTTGTGTAGTAGTACAATCCAACTTTTACTTAATTATTATCGTTATCTTTTTTCTAACGCTTCTTTCGCTTGTATTGAAGCCAATGAAAATGCCCTAACTACTGGTAATGACAAATCTAAACTAATGCCCACCCTATAAATACAAGACCAACTCCATACTAAAGACCAGCTCAAAGTTAAGGTATTATTAAAGGCTATGCAGCATATATATATCATTGAAATTTTAAACAAAAAAAAATCTAACTGTGATTTAAAAAATATGCTTGAAAAACCAACACAAAAACTAAAGCCCAACCCAAAACTAAAGCCCAACCCAATACTAAAGACCCAATCCAATTCTAAGATGCTATGCGGCATATATATATATCATTGAAATTTTAATTAAAAAAAAAAATCTAACTGTGATTTAAAAAATGCGCTTGAAAGACCAACACAAACTAAAGCCCAACATAAAGCTAAAGCCCAACTTGAAGCTAAAGCCCAACTCAATACTAAGGTATTATTGAATGCTATGCAGCATATATATATTATTGAAATTTTAACTAAAAAAAAAATCTAACTGTGATTTAAAAAATGCATTTGGAAAACCAACACAAAAACTGAAGCCCAACCTGAAGCTAAAGCCCAACCCAATACTAAAGACCCAACCCAATACTAAGGTATTATTGAATGCTATGCGGTATATATATATCGTTGAAATTTTAACCAAAAAAAAAATCTAATTGTGATTTAAGCAATGCGCTTGAAAGACCAACACAAAAACTAAAGCCCAACCTGATCTAAAGCCCAACCCAATACTAAAGACCCAATCCAATTCTAAGATATTATTAAAGACTATGCGTATATATATATCATTGAAATTTTAATCAAAAAAAAAAAAATTTAACTGTGATTTAAAAAATGCACTTGAAAGACCAACACAAACTAAAGCCCAACTCGAAGCTAAAGCCCAACCCAATA